TGGACGCGTCGGATGTCGGGCTGTGTGCGCTTGACGTATTGGCGAAGACTGCGCTCACCTACGCATTTACCCCATCCGAGCTATCGCTGATAGCGGAATTCAAAATGGGAGCGGCCAACGGCTTTGACATCAACTTCCGCGAGCTCCTCTCGTGTGCCTTCGCGGTGCACGTATGGGGAGAACGATGGTCCGCGAGCAGCCTCATCGGCAACAGACCGCGGCACGTGCACTTCCGTATCGACAATTCATCCGCTGTCGCATGGCAAAACAAGCTGGCCTCACGCAACCCCAGGGCTCAAGTGATGATCCGCCTGCTTAGCTGGTGGGAAGCATCATATCGGCTTCGGTTTTCAGCGTCTCACGTCGCTGGAACAGATAATACGCGCGCCGATGCCGGCTCCCGTATTCCCGCTAACCCATCTTTTGCAGCTGTGTTTGCTTCGCTAACACATGGGTGGTCGCAGGTGGCCCCGAAGACGGACATTCAAGGCCTAGCCAGTATCTGGCAGCATATCTCCGCGCGCACTCCGTTGCCGACTCCACGTTTGATCAATACAATCGAGCCTTCAACAAGTGGAAAAGGTGGACTTCGCGACGAGGACTTTCTCCCTGGCTTCATGGCATGACTCTCACTGATATGGTGAAGCACATATCAGATTTCGTTTTACATGGATTTCAGTTTGGCTTTGGATCCGGCGGTCCCATCCGTAGCGCCTCCATCATGGCGGTGCTCCATGGCGTTCGCCATTTCTTCGCCGCCTCTGGATGTGAGCTCCCGATTGAACACCCGCACATCCGCATGCTTCTCAAAGGAATTAGCCGTCTCGACACGCCCCGACGCCGCAAGGCACCCGTGTCAATCCACCTCTTAGAAGCATGCTTTCGAGGCCTGGCCATGGAACATCCCCGTGGCCAAGCCCTGTGGGGGGTAGTGTGCTTGGCATTCTTCTTTCTTCTGAGACGATCAGAGATCGTAGCCATCCAAGGTGGATCCTTCAAGTGGTTCGCTCTACGAGCGCAAGACATCGTGGTTGTGGATACCGCTGGGCAGCCGACTCAGTGTCCGTCACAGGCTCAGGCTGTTTGGATTCACCTGATCGGGTCCAAGACCAATCAAGGTGGGGCTCCAACGACTAGGATGCTAACTCGCTCTGGTCACCAGTTTCTGTGCCCCGTGTTCGGAGCCCTCCTCCTCCATCAAGCAAGGAGGAATCTCCCTGCAAGCATCCCAGCCGCCGTGTACATCTCACGCTCGGGACAACCAGCCTGCGTATCGACCGAAGATGTGTCCGAAGCCATCAAAGGCGCTGCCGCTTGCACTGGCGAAGATCCCCGCCGGTTCAGCTCTCATTCTCTACGCGCCGGGGGAGCCACGCACATGTACCGATCTGGCACGGATGCACTTACAATCCAGTTCCACGGCCGCTGGGTTTCCGACGCGTACAAGACCTACACCAGGATCTGCAAGGAGTCCGTCACCACGCTTTCAGCGAACATGGTGGCAGGCCCACCGGGGGATTCGACGCTACATTAGTGGAGCCTCTATGCATGACCACTTAAGGGGGCACAGCTCTCCTCGTCCCTTTTCGGATCGAGCTGATGGTCATTGCATAAGCTCTCATTAATGTATTTGCTCGTTTGACCCCCAAGGATTGTGGAAAGGTGTATTCCATAGCGAAGCAGAGCGAAGCAAGGGAATTGTGTTTTCCACACCAGTTTTTTTAGTACCGGTATACCGAAACGGTACCGGTATACACTGCTCCTGCTTGTTGCTGACCACACGTGGCGAGCTCTCTCACTTCGTATTTGGAGAACAAGCAGCAAGCAGTCAAGAAATACCCGCCTCTCCTCGTCCCTTTTCGGATCGAGCTGATGGTCATTGCATAAGCTCTCATTAATGTATTTGTTCGTTTGACCCCCAAGGATTGTGGAAAAGGGACGCGTTGTTTTAGTTCAGTGGGGGTAGGTATGATAGGAGGTGAATGGAAGAGCAGGATGAAGAAGCACTGCGGCAGAAAACGCAAGAATCGTAATGATGTGCGCAAGAAACTGGCCCGTATCCCAAATACAGTGACAATGCGGCACCCGCCGTCCTTTGAGTACGAATATAAGTGGGAAGTCGTGGGGAGAGCTGTAATTCGAGGCACAGCAACAGACACAGACGGACATCAGCAAGCTCCAATAGAGCTAATCCAGCAACCCAATGGTATCCATTGGGGATTGAACGACTTGACGATAAATCAATCGGAGCTCACGAAGGATATGAAGACGTTACAGCAGCGAGAGCGTGACAGGGGTATCGTCTTTGCTGCGCATCCGAAACTTCATGACTTTCCGTGGATGGTCTCGCCGACAGTGGCCAACAAACATGTACTAAAGGCATTCAAGAAACTAGCATTTAAGAAGTACAGAAGTGAAGGAGAATCGCTTGACGTGATAGTGGAAAAGTTACAACTAGCGGCAAAACCGAGTCAATGGCAAGCTGCAGCTCTGGAACAGAATCCTAAGCGGCTATGGGCGCACCAAAACGAATTAACGGAGTATCAGGTATGGGTCAGTTATCGAGTAGCACTCCGACAATTAAATCTGCATCATCCGACACGGCTGGTGAACAATAGTTGCCATAAACTAGAAGGGTGTCAGGGCACCAAGGAGACACTGGAGCACATCTTCTGGGACTGTGCATGTGCTCAAGTATGCTGGCAGAAACTCATCTGCCAATGGACAGGGGAATGTTGGACCCAGGCTACTCTACACAACTTCCAAAAGAACTGTGCAAGTAGACAAGCTCCAGAACTGTCCAAAACGATCACAGAAAAGCTACGAAATCTCTACCCAGATGAGGCCTCTCAGTACGCAATAGTTTGGAAACGGCTGTGGAGAATACTCTGCAGTATCTGCATAACAACACTCTGGATACAGCGCAACCGGGTCGTTTTTCAGCATGAAGAAGTAACATTGGACGGAAGTCTGCAGGAGTTCTGGACTACAGGACAAAGGCAAATACGAGCCGTCGCCATACGTGAACGACGGTGCCCAGAACGTATAGAAAGCGGGACGCGTCTCCTACTCTGCTTACAAGAGTTAGACAACCAGCCCAAAGAGATGTTCCCTCACAGGACAAGCTTCGTACATCCTCGGTGTCCAAACGAACCGACGTTGATAACCAGGCTTAGGATCAAACAGACATCTAGTCGTCGATAAGGACCAAATAGAATCGTCTGCCTCTCGAAACTGGCCCGTATCCCCGTCGAAGATAGAGCTGTTGAAAGACGGGCTGCAATAGTCGCTGCGGTTTCTAGGCACTTGATGCGGCAGGCAGGGAAGGAAGGCATGTTCAAGCGTCGTACAACGTTCATCAAGCCTGCGCTGACACCCGAAAATAAGCTACAGCGTGTGGTGCATGCGCTGTCATTTATCGATGACACGACGCTTGCATTCGAGCCTATGCACAACATGGTCCATGGTGATGAGAAATGGTTCTATGCAGATCGTGACAAGCGTTCGTACCTGGTGTTTGACGGTGAGGAGCCCCCTCCCCGAGTCTGGAAGAGCAAGAGGTTCATTCAAAAGACGATGTTCATGGCTGCATCATTACGATCTCGGTAAGTCTATACTTTTATTTTTGAAAATTTTTAACCCTTAATATTAAAACAGATACGAAAACGGCAATAATGGGAAGGATAGGTTGGTAGTTGGTCCTTCACGGAAAAGTACGAAGCCCAACGACGCAGTTAGAACAAAGCCAAACGAGCAGTTTGCACGCGCAATATTGAAACTGTCAATCGCAATGTGTACAAGGAGTATTTGATTAACAAAGTATTCCAGCTATCAAGGCGCAGTGGCGAAGAAAGGATCATCATCAAGTGATTCTTGTGCAGCAGGATAATGCAAAACCCCACGTGTCCCCCGGGGATGAGTAAATCGTCAAAGCGGGCCAAGAGGGAGGATGGAACATTCGACTCTTCTGTCAAGCGCCCAATTCGCCCGACCTCAACACTCTCGGCCTGGGCGTCTTCAACTCAATGCAGACTCTCCAGTACTACATCCATAGGAAGGGCATCGACGCTCTAATCGATTCGGTGAACACTGCGTATCGTCAGCTCAAAGCTGATACCGTGAATGATAGCTTCCTCTCCTTACAGGCGTACATGCCAATGATCTTGCAGGAAGAGGGAGGAAATTTGTACAAGCTTCGGATTTAGGAAATACCAAACTTCGAAGAGCCAAGCGTCTTCATATTAGTTTGAGCTGTAGTCGAGAGCTGAACGAGTCTGCTCTTGCATTATTAGCAGCATCCAAGAGGGGCAGTGCGCTACTGTTTAACAATCCAGCATTGCACTAAATTCACTCAATAAATCAATTCGCTCAGTGCTGATAAAACCTCTTGGGCATCATATGACCTGTCAGAAAACCTCCCGGTGATTATTTCCAACCAGAGGAAGTAGAGTACTACATGTACCGGTAGCTCCTTACTCTTGATGGCTTTTCTTTTCTGTTTTTTTTTAAAGTAGGATGCCTTATATGCGAGACCACGTCTTTCGGTGCGTAGGAGTCTGTGGCTCTGTAGTCCCTTACGAGAGTCGTTGCAACCTTTAAAATGTCTAATTTTATCTTGGCCCTTTCAATAGCATCTTTAATTCCCCCACTTTTCTTCGTCTGTCCGATTTCATGCCCAAAACTACAGTAGAGCTTATTTGCAGCAGTTTGTCCAAGGGATTACAGGTGACCATGGCGTTGCCACTGGCAACTTGCCAGTTGCGCAGCTGTACGGCATGTCGCTTTGAAGATCCTCGCCACTCCTTGATGCTTCCTCCCTTTAGCTTACATATGCCAAACATACACAAAGTAACCTAGCATATACAGCATAATGCTGCATGAGTGCAACTCTGCTCCATGCATTGCAGGTGAGTTCATGTGCCCCGTATACGAATGTACAACGCACGAAACAAGCTCGGTATCGACGTCATCGTGGGCCCGATTGTTGTTCGCAATAAATTATATCCCTCAGTAAATTGCTTCTTGATTTCAATTCTGCCACACCTCGACTTGCTCAAGTAGAAAGCTAAATCCATAATTAAATACCTTGCCAAATACATCAATCGCTTACGTTGTTGCTTTTTAGCTGCCCTGTGCCTGCCAAAGCGACCTTCGGATGGGGTCTCCGATTTGCATTACGCCATTCCTCAACCTGGCAACACCGGACACCGATGAAGCGTCGTCCGCTGCGCACCGCTGGTGGCTTTGGACTCTACGCGCTGTGCATCTTCCTGTCTACCATCACGCTGCAAGCGTTGACCACACAATCGCCCGCGCCGTCTTCCTCGTTCCTCAGCAGCTTGAACCCCGTCGATTCATTGCTCTGGAGTCAGACGTCCACAATCTCTGCCGTAGACCTGCGACTGCGCAACTTGTCAGTACACCGCGTTCGCTATATGGACGAACAGGCAATCGCAGAAGAAGTAGAAGAAAGTGGCGTCCATAAGACCCCAGTGGACTTCTTGACTACAAAGCCGCGCTCGGCCGAGGTATCTAGCGTAGTGGTCACTTGGGAGGACCATCCGCTGGCTGTCCATGCGCGGGCAAAGGATGCACGCCTAGAGGACGAAGAAGACGAAAATTCTGCAGCTGAAGCGCAAGATTCGACCTCAGACACGTATTCGTATGAGGTGCAGGTCTGGGTCACCGGATGGGGGCTTGACGCGCTCTGGAATGCTGCTAACAAACGGGTGATCACGACAGATCCGTTCTTGGTCTTGGCGGACTTGCCACTAGAGCAGGAATTGGCCTTTCGCGTAAGGATGAAGGCAAGGAATGCTGAGAATTCGCTGCTCGGGCTCTTGTTGCCGATGGGATTTTTCTCCATCGAGACGGACGGACCGTGGAGTGATGTGGCAACGCTGTGTCCTACACGCGATGACGAGCTGGAAGCATTAGTCACGTCTTTGACAGGCAACAAACCGTTGTTGCTTTTACTGGGGTTGTGTATCGGATCGAGTTGCCTTGTAGTGGCACAACTATTTTTCCGACGGAGAGTTGCACTTGGACGACAAAGGAAACTACTGAAATTGCAAGTGAAACGCTCGTCTTCTGAAAACGATGACGTTGTGAAAGAGGCGAGCAGTGATACTACGGGCAGGAGTGGCAAGTCGGTGCAGGAATTGGAGCACGAAATTCGCAATCTTCGTCAAGAGCTGGCGGACTCGGAGGACGAGGTGCGGCAACTCATGCTGTTCAGCGGCTACGGCATCGAGATGCTGGCCTCACACGAACTGGAGCAAATTGAACGTGTACTAAAACACACGCTGATGCGTATCCAGCATCTCAAGAATCGCGGGGCAACACCGGAACTACCGGAGATGAGTGCCGCTGGGACTGTACACGGACAGGGTAGACGGGATAGACCGCGACTCAAGCAGCGAGACGCTTTGCCGACGAGCCCCATCTCCGAGCACCCGTCGTTCTGATCGAGATCAGCATTTATTTATCTATAAACCCAATCGGCAACTTGGAGTTGCATAGAAATCGTCCACCATTATGGTACTCTTAAGAGTGAAGGTCTTGACTTTGCAAATGGTGTGCACCACATATTTCATTTAACTGCCAAGATGCCCGTGCGTGACGTCGCTCTGGGCGCTCTATCGGGGGCACTCCTCTCGTTGATGGTATCCCAAGTGGTGCTCCCTCGTATTCGTACGCGTCAGTTACGCTCCCAAGCCTCTTGTGGCACAGTGTATCTCGTGGGTGCCGGTCCGGGCGATTCCGAATTGCTCACACTTAAAGCTCGCCGACTGCTTGCTAGTGCGACCGTCGTTGTAGTGGACGACCTGGTGGGGCCTGAAGTGTACGCTCTGATCCCCAAGGACTGCGAGATCATCTACGTAGGCAAGCGAGGGGGCAAGAAGGACTCCGCTAAGCAGGTGGATATCGATGACATCCTAGTGGACAAGTGTCGCGCTGGACACATCGTTGTCCGTCTCAAAGGAGGCGATCCCATGGTCTTCGGCCGCGTACACTCGGAAATTCGTACTCTCATCCGTGCTGAGTGCAGATTTGAAGTTATTCCGGGAATTTCCTCGGCTTTGGCGGTGCCTGCAATTGCGAATATACCAGTGACACACAAGACGCTCAGCACCAGCTTCGTAGTCGTCTCTGGCCACAAACCCGCGGAGATGGACTTTGCCACACTTGCCAACGTGGAAACAATTGTGTTGCTGATGGCAACTCGGACTATTGGCAATATCTGCGACAGTTTGATCGAAAGTGGCAAGGGCAAGGACACTCCTGTTGCGTTAATTCACTCAGGTACCAACCCTGACCAGGTTTTGCTACTTGGAACACTACAAGACATCGCAGCGAAGACCGATGGTAAGAAATACTCCCCCGCCATCATTGTCATTGGACAAGTGGCCAAATACGGAAACTTGCAGGCGTATCTTGAAGAGTCGGATGACGAGTCAATCAACACAGACGTGTAAACCACAAGTTTAAAACTTTTAAACAATGAAAATATCACTGCATCACTCAGCGCTTACTTAACGACGCACAATGTCCAGCAGCTCGACCTCGAACACCAGGTCGGCGTCGGGCGGGATAACGCCACCAGCGCCGGCCTTACCGTAGCCCTTAGCCGCCGGGATGTTGAGCGTGGCCTTCATGCCCTTACTCATCCGCATGACGCCTTCATCCCAGCCACGAATGACCTGGCCGACGCCGATCTGGAACTGGAAGGGCTGACCGCGATCGATCGACGAGTCAAAGACTTTGCCGTCCTTGGCGAGTTTGCCCGTGTAGTGCATGACCATTGTATCGCCACGTACAGGGAAGGTGACATTGTCACCCTCTTGGATGGCCTCAGGCAACACAAGACGCTCGTCCGCATGCAACTCCGAGTGCAACTCGTGGTCCACCAGCTCCAACGTCACAGTCAGAGACTGACCAGCGTACGGGTGAGCCAAGTTGATGTCCATCGTGTCGTCTGTGAGCTTGACAATGAGTGCACGCTCGCCACCCGCGAGTTCCAACACTTGACCCACCGCGAGCATCTCGCGCTCCTTCTCGGGCAAGTTCATCTCCTTAAGTGGGACAGTCAAAATCTGCTTGTCGGCTCCGAAAGCCTGGGCAGGCTCAATTTCTACAGTTTTTGACTCGCCCGTCTTCATGCCCTGTACAGCGTCTTCCACACCGGGGAGAACTTGGCCACTGCCCACGATGAACTTAAGCGGGGCGCCTCCCTGAGTCTTGGGAAGTGACTCGCCACCGGACAGCGTGCCATCCATGTGTAGAGACACACGGTCGCCCATTGCCACTACGCGACCTCCAGACTGCGTGCTGAAGGTAGCAGCAGCACCGAAGCGGAGTGACGGGAATGCAACGCAGCGCAGACCGCGAGGAGCAGAAGTTGCGGTCTGTGTCAGAGCCACAAGTGACCGAGACTGGCGAGCTGGCATTGAATGCAGACGATGGAAGTGTTAGCAAACTAGACGGTATGCTATGGTTAAGCGATGGAACGAACCGACGGAACGCGCATTCTGGCGGGTGGCACGGACCAGGAGAGTCGGGAAGCGCTTGCAGAGCTGCATGGTAGAGTTCCGGTGGAAATGGGGAGCTCTTATTTGTGTGGCGGTTGTGTGTCGATGAACATATCGTGCATCAGAAACGCAAGATGAAACAAGTACATAACCCCCTGCTTTTGTCATAATTACAGCAGTATTTGTGCACTTATTCATTCACACGACGAAATGAGTTCACGACGTAGAACTAGCGAAAAACTAGACGTGGCTTTAATCGTACAGACCACACGATCTTGTAGGACGAAACGCGAAGACAACTTACGCACTTGTTTCTCTTCTTTTTCTCCAGTGGCCACTGGATAAAACACTAGCTGGCCGACGGTCTGCAAGTTCTTGTTCGAATAGATAAGTGCGACCACACACTCCACCGTCCTCTCCTCTAGATCTCAAAGCGGTGTGCTGTCGACAGTTGGTCGTGTGGGATGGCGCTACTGTAGAAATCTTGTGCTGTCATCGTCTTCTTGTCCGTCGTCGCTGTCTGGTTCGATAGACCGTGCACTGGGATCTCATCCTCCAAGATCAAGCGCTGCAAAGAGCCATGTGAAGTGGCAGGAGGAGCATTCACTGCATCGTATGCAGCCGCCGCCACTGCGCTATCTGACTTGCTTTCATCGCCCAAATCCAACGGAAGACTCATCAGGGAGCCTGCATCATGAAGTGACGCCAGTTGCTGCTCGAACAAGTCCATAGAGCTCGATTTCTGGTTGCCACCGACAAGTTCCTGCTCGAAAAGACCTTCTCCGTTTACCGACAAGCTGCTGAGACGTCGCGTCAAGCCTCCGTTGATCCACGTATCGTCGGGCTCCACATCTGCCGTAATCGAGCGCAAACTCGCGCTCTTTGTGTCTCCAAGACTCAGCATCTTATTAAGCACTCGGTGCGGAGGACGGCCCAGTGGAAGAGGCTTGGACGCCGTCGAGTCTTCCACTGTAGACTCCGTCAGCGGGTGCGCCCCTGACTGCGACTCCATCCGCATAATCGCAGCGTCGATATCATCGCCCAAGTCACGCAAACTGGTTGCAGATAGCAAACTCTTGAAACTACCGTTCCCGAGCGAATTGTTCGAGTGGCCACGCAAAAACTCGTTCAGGATCATGACGTCCTCCGCGCTCATTTTTTCGTCCGTCTCGTCTTCCAGAGGCGTCAAAATAGGCTCCAGATTTACTTGAGTCGTATTGCTGATAGCATTGTTGTTCACAGGAGCTGGGTGATGCGACATTTCCATCTTCACAGGTTGTGCTGGGGCGGTATATGGCACATTGGGTCTGACTGGCGACGTGGACACTGGCGGCGCGTCATCCGAGTTTAGAAGACGCGGACGGCCAAGCTTTGTATATGTCTTCTGGTTCGGGTTCAGCGCCTTCCATCGGAGTTTTACAGCGTCTTCTGTACGTCCCTGCAAAATTCGAAAATTTTAACTTTTTGTTAAAAATACAACATTTTTTCATAAATCAGTTGCTTACGTACTGGTAGAAGCTCTGCTATCTGCGTCCAGCGGTTGCCATATTTCTCGTACGCTTGCTGGATGGCTTCGTCTTCTTCCTCGGTAAATGGTCTGTTCACACGTGAATTTACCAATTTTAATCGCGCGTTTTTTGTTGTTTTGCCAGGTAAAATGCACTTACGATTTGTTGATACTTGGGTCCAATCGGTTTCGCCAACGCTCGCGGCACTGTTTTGCACTGTGAAACAATTGCAATTGTTTAATGACCATCACTCTGATTTGTCACTTTGTTGCATGCAACTTACGTTCGTCCGGGAATGCTGTTTGACACCTGGCGCCAGTTGTCGTAGCCCTTAAGCATCATCTCCATGAGCATCGCGTCCTCCTCAACTGACCAGGGACCTTTGACTAATCCAGGCTTTAGAACCTTGTTCCAACGCTGTAAACACTGCGCGTTGTCACGTCCTGGCACGCGTTCGGCCACAGCCTGTGGTGGCAATCATTCTGTCAGTTACGTCATCTTCAGCTTCGAGAGGACAGCAGCCTACCATCCAGTTGCGGTGCCCGACCTCGGCCACGGCCTTCTTAAGCGCCTCGTCCTGCTCGGGCGTCCAGCGCTTGCTCACGACGCCGCCGTTCTTCTTCTTCTGGGCCTCGCCCGCTTGTTCTGCGTGTGGCTCGGCATTCACAGCGTCCCGACCGCGCTTCCTGTTTCCCGGATAAAACTTTCGATCGTCACTCTCATGACCATCACTCTGATTATCTTTTCACTTTTGCCAATACGTACACTGCTGACTCGGCAACTGCAAAAAAAAGCGATTACATGAAAATTCGCGGGTTAGTTTAATATTATGGAGGTTGGGAGAGGTAGCAGTCTTACCCATTGATACTGGGGGTGTATGTCTGGTTGTCGCCCTGTAGACTTGCCGTCCCCGCTACGATTCTTCGCGCCCTTCTTGGGACCTTGGGACTGAAGAGTGAGACTCACGGCTGGGGCCAATTCTGCGGAAAGACAGTGTACCCACATATGATTGGCGTAAAAAGAGTGACCTGAGTTCTCTTTTCATTTGCCAATAATTTTATAAAGTAAACAATTGGCTGAAAATCGGAATAGGTACATCTTTTGCGCAGTTCTCACCGAAGTTTAGTGACCGAAAGGAAACATCGAGGCGTGACTCATAATCTGATGGTAACTCTCCCACTACATGTACAGTACTGTAAAGTTTTCAATCCGCATGAAGTTTTCACTAACCGTACAGGTGACTGTAACGATAACAAAGTCGGCAATTTAATGCTACTGTTTGTGCAACACGGCAAGGTAATCTTGCGGAAGTTGACCATAAACTTGGGCCCGGATTCTTTCGTGTTGCCCTTTTTTATCGTTAGTACTTATGAATAAGAATTGACTTTACCGTATTATTCCTCAACAATTGTGCTTGTCGTTCTTACTTGGATTTCTCAACCAACTTATTTAAAACAAAGAAAATAACGACATTTACGGTCCTCGCTTCATGCACACAGGCCACACAAGCACACTCCTTTTCGTGTTACACTTCTGCTACCAACCGGTCCTTGCTAGCACATCTTGCCCTTACGAATCGGGCGCATGAGATCCGAGTCCAATAGATCGTCAATATCATTCGAAATGTTGCCAAGTTCGTACGAGATGCCGTTCGAGTTTCGTCGAGATAGCGACCGTGTCTGCTCACAATCCAGTGAATGCGTCAAATTGTGGCCACTACTCGTTTCGAAACTATGTTGCGAGTACGCGTTCGTCTCCACTGGCAAATTGGCAATATGGTCCTCGTGGATATTTGCATCACCAGTCGATTTTTGAGCCCGCCAACTGTCAATAAGTCCTTGAAACAGATGCTTGTCTTCGTGATCCAGGTTCTGTACAGCCTTCTGCAACGACTCTGGGTTCTTAAAGGAGCTCGTCAAACTGTCCATCATACTGCTACTTGAGAGACGCCCCCTCTCGCCTCTTTCCTTGGATATTGACACTGTTGCACGGAACATTTCGTCCAGTTCGCCACTTGCAAGCAAGTCTTCGGGCGACATGTCTGTAAATGAGGTCAAGCCGCGTGCACTACCAAAGCTCAGTAAGCTGTTCGAGTGACTGCGTAGTAATTCCTTGAGAATGGCTGCATCATTTATGTCATTTTCGGCCTTCACCTCATCACTCAGAGGTTCAACGATAGGTTCTGGGTATTGGCTGGGCATGGGTACTTGTGTTGTAGGGAGAGACTCTTCGTGAGGCATTGCCATTTGAGGTGGCATTGTCATTGGTGTAATGGGTACACTATTGTCGAGATAGGGCATTGGGTCAGGGTACCCATTTCCGTAAGAGGGCAACTCTGGCATGGTAATTGGGCCATTCATCAGAGTGGCCGCAACATCGTCAGGTGTGGGGGGAGCCATCGAGCGTTGCTTGTTGACTGTCATTCCTGGCATGAGTTTCGGTCGACCAGGCTTGGCTTTCACCTTTTGGTTCGGGTTCAATGCTTTCCATCTCAACTTGATCGCATCTTCCGTACGTCCAGGCAACAATTCAGCAATTTGTGTCCATCGGTTGCCCATTTTCTCGAACCCTTCCTGGATAATTGTGTCTTCCTCAGGTGTAAAAGGTCTGTCGCATATTATCAGTTTTGCACATTAGGCAACTTTCTGCAAACACGAATTTTTCATCATTGCCCATCGTACGATTTGTTGATGCTCGGGTCCAAGTGGTTCCTCCATCGCTCGCGACACTGCTTCGCTCTACATTTGACCGCAACTCGTCAGTATACACCAGCTCAAATGCGTTGCAGCTTGAAGTTAGACGTACGTTCTTCCGGGGATATGAGCGGCCACTTCACCCCATGAGTGGCAGCCTTGCAACACCATCTGCTCCAGTGTGCTGTCTTCCTCGAAAGACCAGTGGCCCTTCACCAGTCCAGGCTTGAGCACTTTGTTCCAGCGCTGCAAACATTGCGCGTGGTTGCGTCCATCCACACGCGAGGCGATGGCCTTCCAGTTGCGCTGGCCGAACTCGTCTACAGCCTTGCGCAACGCATCGTCCTGGTCAGTGGTCCAGCGCTTGCCCTTCTCATCCTCGCGGGGCTTTTGCGCTTCGCTCGGAGTTTCATGGAGCGAACCCAACGCATCGTCTGTTGCCTCGCGCTCGCGTTTGCTGTAATGCAACATACAAAAACCAAGTATAAGATGAATACCATGTTGCAGTTTTCAGTGCGGAATGCAACAATGACCCACACTCCTGGTTCCGCTACGTTTTCAAAACATTACAAAACGAGTGTTAGTACGCAGAGGAGACGGAAACTACAAGAGCTGTGGACGCACCCATGGTGTCGAACACGCTTCCTAGCGCTGACGATAGAGAGTGAGTGCCAGCGGGGAATACGTTTAGTGCCGCGTCTTCTCCCGCTGATTGTGGAAAGCTGAATTATGGCCCCTAGATGTCGTGAAAAAACATGCTGCACATTTTCGACCAATAGGAGGAGGTGTAGTTACTCTTTTCAAGTCAAGACCAGGACGCGGAGGAGCATTGCCGAACTTCAAGCGTCTGGTGTACATACCTCAAATACGGTACACGTTGTTGGTCGTGCATTTGCGATTCCGAGGCTTGATGCGGGCGGCTATGAGGCTCGCGACCTGAGCAATCCAAGGTGCGAAGGATTGAAGTTTGGCCGGACCGATCAGATTCGCGGTATTAGTGTTGACGCCTGGGGTTGCATCAGCTGCTGTTGATTAACAACATCGATTGGCATTCTGCTTGGAGTCGCGTGTGGTGCTTGGAATCCGCTCAGCCCACGATCGTACTGCTGCTTGGTGTCCACGCATCTCGACTCCAAGCACCAAAAACGATCGTGAGATGGCGGGCATCAATGTTTACGTGGTGAATCCGATCGTGACTTTCGTTGCCGACGGCAACTTGCCGTACAGGTTGTTTAACCTTATCAAGTGACGAGCTGCAAGTTCTCGGCAATTTCGTGTGAACGCGTGCACCTTGCCACTTTTGATATGCGAAACTTCAGAAATGTAAAAGATGTTTGCATCACCTTGTTACAGTACTGTACGTGTATTGGCAAGGATAAACTCTATCGCGTCAAGATCAGTCTTACAAATGGCTTCCTGAAAGTAAGGACACCGCGAGAGGCTGCAATTGGAGCAGCTCGTGTTCTTCGTCGCGAAGATTACGTCGGTGGTGAGCTTTTAACAACACGCGCAGACCTTCCTGGTCTCCTTCACTCGCAACTACATGTAGTCCACGAGTGACGTTGGCAGCTTTTTCTGAAGTATCCAAGTTGGCAACTAAGAAATAGCTTTAAGAAAACAAACGAGCTGGTTAGCGAGTGCTTCGACACTTTGCACTTCTACAGCTCCGTACCCGGTATGAGACTTTTTACGTTCTTCCGACCTAAATTGCTTGAGGAAAACTTCGACTCACTGCGGGCAAATAGTGCAAACGCTTATGAGAAAATTGTTGCCATCATAAAATAATGGACAATTCATACCGGACACCATAAACGCGTGCTTCCATGGTCGCAACGTCGTTTGTCCTGACAGGAAGATGGAAAGAAATCCTATCCGCCGGCACAGTCACCATGTTGCTGTTTCCTGTGAAAATTCTACCGCAGTACAGCGCCGCTTTGTCCTGCCCAGACAATAATTCGTCAGCAATATTTTTTTCCCTTTTGATTCGAATGTTGCGGATAAATAAACGGTACCATCCACGAGAGGATTTCACCACCGAAGACGGTGCCGTTCCGGTTCAAATGGCATGGTAAGAATGAGGTCGACAACGCGACGATAGTGTCCTTGACTGGAGCCTTTTCAGACCACTCAGTGCGTGAGAAATCGCCTAGCATTTCTAGTGAAACCTGTGGCAAGTCATCCACAAATTTCTCCATTTTCTTCCGGCGCAATGACATGCTTTTGCGTTGCAGCGCAATCTCTCGAAGGCGATCGATACGCTTCGCGTCACTAGCATCAACCAGCTCCGGCAGTTGTCGATACGGGCGATTGTTTTCATCCAGCGCCACTGCTGTCATCACAGCATCAAGAGCATGGACAAACTTCCTGTTGCAAGATCATGGCGATATCCAGTGACCTTGCAAACACAAACATGCAGAAGATATTCAGTTGCCGCAACCTGATATCCCTTGAGAAGGAATATTCACCTGTAGAGTCAAAGACGACCGGCCGAGTTGATCAACTCGCCTTCAAAACGCACAACATCTCCATGCCTGATCGGGCTGACCATGTTCAGGTTCTCAAGTGCTGCCATCGCCACCTTCTTGGATATCGCACTGTCGCCATAAACATTTTATAGTTAGCCACAAACCAAGGTTGGGATAATAATGCACTGCATCCATCCACGTACTTTACGGCCACAGATCCACCAAAGTTATCGAGACGATGCAGGAGCGGTCCGAGACTGAGAAACTTGCTGCGAAGATGTTCGTTTCCCTGTCAAAATCCGTTTCGTGAAAATGTTGCTGGTACATGTAGATGGCAAAAACTGTTGCGCATCATTGACATTTCTGGCTGTTTTCTGTCTACACATGAAGTATACATAGTTGTCGACGTATCACAACTTGGAAGGCGTGTTGGGCGTTGACAACGAGAGCGGCTCGAGCGTCAGCAACTTGAGCTCTTGGTCGTCGAATGTCCATCGGTGCTGAGCCTTGAGCATCGTGCGCATGCTCTCCTGGTCGTTTTCGTCCACCATGAGTCCTGTCGAGATCTGCTTCATGCGGTACGAACGATCCAAGTTCGCAACAGTGAAGTAGCTGTTCGGTAACAGACAAGTACCCAGTTAGGTTCTAAACAATACTAGCGATTAAAACAAGACAAGTACGTACCCTGTGTGCGACTTGCGGCGTTCGTTGGAGCCAATGCGACCCACAAACACCTCGACCTCGACTTCCAAATGGTGACGACTGCAACAAAAGAGTGAGTGTTTTAAACTCATTGGGAAAGTAGTCTCAATGAGGACTAAGCTTACCGGACGCTACTGATACGGGCGTGCATCGTGACAATGTCGTCCATAGTAATCGGCAATTTGAAGAAGATTCGGTTCATCGAGACAGTGACCATGTTCTGATTTTTGGTGAAGTTGCGAGCACTGTACAGTGCCACTTTGTCCATCCACGTGAGCACTTCTCCGCCAAAAATCGTGTTGTTCCGGTTTAAATGTTTCGGCAAAAAGGAGCTCTGCACTTCGATCAACGTGTCCGGGATCGGCACTTCCAGCGATCGACCGATGTCGTGCGTTTTGAGCATGTCAGCAGACACACGCGGCAACTGGTCCACTTGCTCCTGGACTTGACGCCACCGAGCGGCAAGTTCCTTGCGCTGCGCTGCAATCTCCTCGTGTTTCTTTACATACTCTGGGTCCAGCGGGTCCAGCAACTTTGGGAGCCCTGGACTTGGACGCATGTTCTCGTCCAACGCCACGCACGTCATGATAGCGCTCAGCGTGTGGATGAACTTGCCGGCTTCCACATCGTGGCGGTACCCAGTAATTTGGACAGCCAGTGACGACGTTCCCGTGTAAATTACCTCGCCTTCCAGCCTCACGAGGTCGCCGTGCGCGATCTGACTCTTAAAATCCACTCGGTCGACCGAAATCGTCGCGATACCTTTGCACGCCACACTTCATAGCCCAAAATTAGTTTTCAGGCAGCTTTTTGCAAATTTTCTACGTACTTTTCAGCGACAGCAGCTCCAAAGATGTCGATGCGCTCTAGAATTGGCCCGGCACTGATCAACTTGCCACTGAGACTCTCCTCGCCCTGCAACAATGGGTAATGGACGTTAGATGGAAGTCTCGCGTTGCGTAAGAGTTTCCAAGTGTACGCACGATGATGTCGGCGTAGGCAAGGCGCGTGTCCCGCGGGTTCATGAACGTTTGGTCTCCGATAGTTTGCATCCTCACGGCGCTCAACAAGCGATTGTGGCGAGAGTGCAACCTCGTCCGACGCATCAGTTGAGGCAACATTTTCTCGTCAAGATGTACGCGCTGTCCGACGTTTTTCTCAATGTTTGGAGGATGAAACGCAGCCAGTATCTTCCGACGAACGTGTTAATGCTCTTGGTGGACACGAACGCACGTGAGCGGACGCGAACTGAAGTAGCGCATCCTCAAACTGAAGTTCGTCGAGGCTGCATCCTATCCACGAGATTACCTGCTGAAAAGCCTCTCATGGTGTGGACCACATCGATTTCGAAACCGTAGCAGAAAGACAATTTAATTTGTTAATTTTATAAAAAAACAAAAAATATTACTTCAGTAGTTCCACAGCAAGAAATCTTTGTGGTGCTTAAAAGCGCCGAAGCACACTCTTGTGCAGCTATTGCAGAGCTTGATCGACAAATCCACCAACCAGCACGACCTTGTCCTTGAGCTCGACATGATAAAAAGCAGGCATTCCGAAATCATCATTATTTTGAATTTCCAAAACAATGCATTACGATACACATTTTTTGTAGAACTGGTATTTACAACATACTGGCGGGATTGTTTTAGCTGACTGGACAACCTAGCCAATATTGTGTCGTTGGTAGCGTGAGGCCCCCCTGGGTTTAATTACGCGATTACTACCCGAGTCGATAGTCCACAGACCGAGCCTAGAGAAACTGAATATTCGATGTACGCTTTGTAAAAAGTACTGCATGAATGTTGCGAAGAGGCGTGACCACCCAATGCAAAATACGTTGAAGCCAATTGTCCCGAGTGGGAATGGTAGCAACCGTCCTGGGCACGGTTCCCGTTCTCACTCTGGAGTGACCTGCGCCCAGCCACTTGAAGTCGCACACCAAGAGGTTGAGCGGCCGGCTCGCCCGAATCAGCTCTGCCATTGTCAGATTTCGTTGCTCGGATTGGTGCCTGATCCCGTCGTATCGAAGTGAAGTGTGGAGCGGGAGCAGCACTGTCAGTTGAGTACGCCACCGAAGGTGCATCCAAGGCCAAAGTACTACCTCGATGGGCAAGGTCCCTAAGACGGACGACACGGGCTACATCAATACCGCAGCGTATGCGAAGGACGGTGAAGCGAAGGGAGGAGCGTCATCTCCTGCAGTGTACCCAAGGACGCACTGACGAGCGTTACGACTGTGTAGGGGTACGGTAAGGGTGACATTGCGGGCGAGGTGAGTTTGGTCAGTTTTACCTGGAAACCCCGAGTTGACTTTATACATTTGGCTTTATATCACTTGTATTGCTACTTGTGTCGACTTGGATTACTACGTTTTGCCCCGCACGTCTAGAACGATCTCGCTACCGTTGATCAGCGCAAGCGTCCCGTTCCAGGGCGACTCTCGACACAACCAACCTGCTACATACAGGACCAGTGCACGGTGGTAGTGCTCGCGCAAACGCTTCGGTTTGCATACTATTAGCTGGTGTTTATAAGAGAAGCGAAGCTAGATTAGTAATATTGACTTGGGCAACGCTCCGACAGAAGATATTCGCAGCAGTCATATTTTGAGCTGCATTCCCAGGTCAAAGCAACACCTCCAGTCTATACCAATTCAAGCTGATATTCAACGTTTTACGAGGACCATATTTTCACAATGTCACCCAGTGTCCTTCGTGACCGCTAATATTACATAATTACGCCACAGACTGAGTCTTATGTATAGTGTGTGGTGCTGGTCAATCGCTAGCAAAGTTGGTTTTGTCAGTATCACAGACATACCACAGTAAATACTAGCTAGTAATGTACAGTTTAGTTCTTTCGGCCGACAGAGGTTACAAGCGCTCCAGAGTTTAGCCCGCTGCTCGTCATCGTGGTAAAGTAGTCTGCATACTGTTTCAGTACGTGACTGGTAAGGTTCGAGTTACCATCTTCACCTCCTGCTTGCGAATAGTGCCACCCCGGTAGCGATAGTACACGGTAGGCTCACTCTGTGTGCAACGCTGTCAATCAAGGAGGCGGAAACCACATGATGGTGGCACCTTTTTTCTGAGCATTATGTTGCTGGATTCATAGTAACTGCACACGACCAACGCTTCAAGAAAGTGCTACATGGGATGGCATCTCTTGTGAACGAGTTCGATGTCGACCAAGCCGCAGCTAGCGATGTCACTTTTCTGAGAGGAATCTTGTCTTTTCTTTTTTTCCAAGCGAAACCTCAGTAGCACCGCTCTCCTCGCAGGGGTCAGCTGCCCCGCTTACACGAGACTGGTTGACTTACTGCGGGCCCCGATTATCGGATGCGCCAGCCGTCGCCTGAATTTGGCGGTAAATCGTTTCCTGTCCTACTTCAACTTCATATGCTCAAACGGAAGCACCGCTGAGCTGCACTCAGGTAATGTTGCTCTAAAATTGCAAAATGCTGAGGGTATTTCCCGGTAATAATTGACACCGCAGATACGTTTTTGAATTTTATGCTTAGTTTTTGTTTTTCGGTGTAAATATTAGAAAAAAAACTCGATTGCGATCAGTGCTTCGCCAAGAAACACGACTGAGCTCGACGGTCGGGGTGATCGAGCGCTACTTCACGATTCGAGGTGCCCTCTACACCGATTCTGCTGAACTTTCCTCACCTTCGAAGGGCGGGGTCTTGCTCCTCTGGTAACTGCTGAGAGGCTCAGGCGTGGAAGCTTGAGCGTCTTGGCGAGATGCAGGGATGGGTTGGAGTAGAAGTGGAAGATCTTCACCCACATCAAAAGTGAGTCCTTCGAGCTTGTATGATCTGGTGGTACTGATCTGCGATCTGACCGCAGGGTTGCCTTACGGGTGTGCTCCTTTATCTTTAGTTCAACTCTGGCGTTCTTGTCACTTTCTATAGCGGGTTCTTGATAGTTGAGAGTCTCTAGATGTCCCCGGCCAAATCGTAAATCCGCTTAATCTGACGGATATGCACGCGCAAAGCAAAGCTCACTGGATGGTAGGACCTGCCCAGTATAATATCCAGGTATCACTACCAGCACTAGATCAGCTCCTCCCCAGCCTCCACCGAGCTCGTACGGCCCAATTCTTGAGGGCAGGAAGGTATTTTGTGTGTCACAATGCAAATTGAGATCTGATACATAGTTAAGAATATATCAGCCTGGATCTCTATCATCTCTGTTCAATACTTACTAAATCCCTTACCAGGCCTGGCTGCTTGTCCTTTCTCTTCTTGGCCCATCTCCCATATATTTGTTCTCTAAGTACTGCTGACTTTCAGCCTCCATCACTTCTCCCTTAGTTAGCGATACGGTACGGCAGCTGCTTGATCGGGGGACTGTCACTCTTTTCGACCTTAAAAATACTGCATCTTCGTTCAACCAGGCTTCATCGATGACTCCACGAACATATCGTAAAAGCCGTTCAGCTCGGACCAGAATAGTGTCTTCTGCTCAGCAGATAAGTCAGACTCAGAGAAATCGGCCGTCGCGCCAGCATCCTTGTCAGGTGGGACGTCAGGCTTGGATGCTCTCACTTTGTCGCCGCCGTTCTCCTCTCGCACGTCGGTGACTGACATTGCTACAGAGCTCTCTACCCTTCAGTGGGCATCCGTCCTTCGAACAGTCCGTGGGCTAGTCGGGATCTAATGATTCACAAGCCGGACGAGAAAATCAGATTCTATATCGGCTATCGGAGGTTGATCGCGGTGACCGTGAAAGATTGTTACCCCATGCCTTTAATCGATGATGAGAGGTGTGCATGTCGCCCGATCTAACAAGCAAAATGATCACCTAAGCGGCGTTTTAGAGGCTTGTGAACGCAGGAGGGATTCGACAATGCATTTCTTCACCTAAAGTCCGAGCGACAGGCATCGTGTAGTTCTGAGCCAAACTTGACTGCGGAATCAAAAGCATTTCCATGATTTTTAAGCCTTTGTTCCTAACCCCTTTTTTCGATCCAGGCCTGGTTGAAGTTGAGATCTTTGTCGATGACCTGTTCGCCTTTTCTTGTTATTTCCTCTCCTTCTCAAACCTTTATCAGTATAGCTGCTTGTTGCCTCATTTCTTTTTTCTCAAGTCGTTCCTGAGCTTTAGCAGCTCGTTCTTCGAGCTTTTGACGGCGCAGTACGTCAGCTTCAAGTACTGCAGCTTTCATTTCCGGTCTTGTCATGAGAACACCACCATCAACAAAAGACCGTGTTCATTTTGGAGATTGGGACTTCGGCGCCAACATGGAGATGATTTCCATCCCCAAAAACGTAGCTTTCAGTGCGTTGTGGTCAATACATCCTCTTTTAAGTTGACGCTCTTGTCTTGGAGCTGGATCGGGCAAACTACGAATGTAGTTAACATGAGAGAGGTCGGTCACGACGGGTTGTTTCCCCACAATGCGATGTAGCATCGTTTCCAAGCACAGCGGCACGATCCCTGTTCTTCGAAATGCCGTGAGTCAAGTCGACATCGTCACTACGCTCTTCCAAGCCTTCGTCACCAGCCCAGCAAAGTTATGCTTGGTGGGCTGTGCTTGATCGTGCCTCAGCGGAAAGTCTTCGAGTTGCTTATCATAGTTCCTCTTTAGTGCTGAGACAACGGCATCGTCGAGAGGTTGCGTGAAATAGCGGGTGTATGACTGCAAGGCGAAGATCATGATCTTGTTAGCTTCAGCGAACTCAAGAACAGGGCCGTTAACACGAGAAAAATGGCTATCCAAAATGAAATGAGCTGGCTTGGCTGCATTATGTTTGGTCAAGTGGGCATCGAAAAATTTCAGCCAATGCAGGAAAAGAAAACCGTTTATGGTTGAAGAATCGATAATGGCACACACAGCCTCGTCGTCGGTCTCATCCATCCAGCTCAATTGTTTTTAGTTTTCCTTGAAAAATGAGTATCGGCGGTAATTCGTCTCCCGCAGCGCTCACACACGCCATGACAGAGACGTTCTCTCGATCACTGGATCGAACCACGTCATCCCTTTGGAACATATAACACTTGGTGTTTTTTTCCTTGAGGGCAGAATCCGGTCTCATCACAGCTCC